ATACCCAGGGAATCCCGGGAACCTGAGTCCTCTTTGTTTAGTTTCTTTTGTAGTTTATTATATTCTTAGTAAAATAGTTGTCTTATTCGTGGAGGATGCTGACTCAGGAGAATTCTGCTTGGGCATCAAATTTTCTCACTTGAATTCAATGTTCTTTTTGTCAAATCACTACTAACTTTCTTCTCTCATAAGCTGAATCACATTTTTTAGTGGTGGCTAAACTATATTTCACCAGATGGGTGGTGGCTTCTAAACATTTTGTTATAGTATAGTGGCATAGCAGTACTCTATCATATATCAATGATATCTTTAACTGTTAATTGTGACAATTAGTTCTCTTACCTTTTAGGAGCATTTTCTACATATTCTATTTTATTTTTATTTCTATTTTTTGAGTCAGAATTTTACTCTGTCACCCAGGCTAGAGTACTGTGGTACAATCATGGTTCACCATAGCCTCAACCTTCTGGGCTCAGGCAATCCTTATACCTCCGCCTCCCGAGTAGCTGGGACTACAGGCACGTGCCACGATGCCCAGCTAATTTCTTTCGATTTTTTTCTAGAGACAACGTCTTGCTATGTCGCCAGGCTGGTCTTAAACTCCTGACCTCAAGTGATCCTCTTTGCCTTAGCCTCCCAAAGTGCTAACTAAGACTACAGGTGTGTGCCACCATGCCTGGCCAACTGAGAGCTTTTTTTTTTAACTTTTAATTTTTTTATTTTAAAGATGTGGAGTACAACTCAGGGATAGGTATACAAATGTTCATTATGCAGGTATAGTTGTTGATGAGGTGTGCCCCCCGCTTCCCCAGGCAGACTCCCTCTACTGCCAATCCCACTTCTCTGCTCCCCTCCTGGCAGTTTCCCGCTACTGCCAATCCTTTTCTTATAGTATTACGATGATTGTTCAAGGTCCACTTGTGAGTGAGAACATGCGATACTCAATTTTTTGTTTCTGTGAAAGATCACTCAGTATTATAGACTCTAAGTCCATCAAGGTTGCTGTGAAGTTCATGATTTTGTCCTTCTTTATGGCTGTGTAATATTCCATCATGTATATGTACCACATTTTTTTTGTTATTCAGTCCTCTTTTGATTGGCAGCATGGTTGGTTCCATGTTCTTGCTGCTGTGAACATAGCTGTGATAAACATACATGTGCAGGTATCTTCTTTATAGAGTGATTTGAGTTCTTCCGGGTATATTCTCAGTAGGAGGATTGTGGTTTGTATGGAAGGTCGATTTTTAGATTTTTTAGGAATCAGCACACTGTTTTCCACAGAGGCTGTACTAGTTAGTTACACTCCCACCAACAGTGTAGAAGTTTTCCCTTTTTGCCACATCCTCTCCAGCAGCAGTTGTTTTTTGAGTTATTGATGATAGCCATCCTGACTGGAGTTAAATAGTATCTCAGTGTAGTTTTAACTTGCATTTCTTTGATGACTAGTGAGGTTGAGCAGTTTTTCATGTATCTGTTGACTGCTTGTATGTCTTCTTTTGAGAAGTGTCTGATCATATCTTTTGCCCACTTAGTAACTGAGTTGTTTGGTTTTTTTCGGCACGTTTGAGTTCCTTGTAACATCCTAGATGTTAGGGCTTTGTCTCTCAGTCTATGGACTGCTGAGAGCATTTTTAAAACCTCAATAGAATTATTATTGCCCTCATCACTACTTAGGATACTTAAACAAACCGACCTGTCTGCCTTAATTTCCCTGAGTTCTGTTTTTTTGTTTTTTTTGTTTTTTTGGTTTTTGGGTTTTCTTTGAGTTGGAGTCTCACTCTGTCACACAGGCTGGAGTGCAGTGGCACACTCCTGGCCACCATAGCCTGACCTGCTGGGCTCAGGCAATCCTTCAACCTTAGCCTTCCAAGTAGCCAGAACTACAGGCGTGCGCTACCACACCCAGCTAATTTTTTTATTTGTTGTAAAGACAAGATCTCACCATGTTGTCCAGGTTGGTCTTGGACCCAAGGACTCGGGCAATCCTCTCGCCTTGGCCTCCCAAATTGCTGGGATTATAGGCTTGAGCCACCATGCCTGGCCTTCCTGAGTTCTTTATATAAAATTTAATAACTCCTTCCCCAGGTTACTGAATCTCAGTTAAAAATGAGTTTAATAACAGTAGTCAGTATCTGTCTGGGGACAGGGAGACATCCCTTATCAACAAGGGTGCCTGAACGATGTATATTTGTATATCTAACCCTTAACTGTACCCCACAATTTTAAAATAAAAAATAAGTTTATTTAAAAAAATGAATTTAAGTTCCCAGTGTGGTCAAAATATTTATCTGTTACAGTGATGAGAAAGAAACATCTTTTTTCAGAGTTCTTCTCATGAAGTAGATGAAGCTTTTTTCAAATACAGTAATGAAGGAACATTTTTAAAGAATACAGCATTTTTCTAGTGTAGGAGGATGTCCAGGATGAAATAAATTATCAAAATAATTTTGGAATACTGGACTAAATATACCAATTAACATATAAGATGATGGCAGGTGCCTCCTGTTCTCCCAAATGACTGGGATTTGCTCTTTATCTTTAAAATGACACCTTTAGCTATTTGATTCCTCGGTTCCTAATGAGTGACAGAACAAGTTTCTAAATTTTCTTGTGGACCTGTGTACAGTAAAATGTAGTTCCATTTCTCTCATTTGAGGCAATCCATAGTGGTCCAGAGAAACAACACAGAGAAATCAATCTCTTTTTAAACAAAGTTTGTAAAAATTCAAATTAGAGGATAAAAAGGCAAACAATCCCAGAGCATGCTAAGTAATTCTTTAGAAAAATTAGTTCTTAGTTCTACACTTGTCGGTACTACTCAGCAACACCCTGCCACTCCCTGGGAACCTGCCTGCAGCCTGTCTCCTGGGCCTGCCATCGATCTTCCAGCTCACTTCTGGGGAGGGTGGCACTCAGGAGGTAATAACGGGATCTGTGCGAGCAGCTTTCAAAAGCGAGTGGAAAATATAGGCCCTTAAAATGAATTTATTCCGGGAGCTTGCACTCTCTTGGGGTTTTAAACACGCTGAGGCTTGACTCGAATGTCAAGTTCAAAACGCCCTCCAGATTTGCAGCATTTGGAGCAAGAACAAGAGGAGCTTCCTGGCTGGCTTCGCTCTGTAAGGACTTTCTCTCGACTGACCCCGACGAGGGTTTATAAGTGGCTGCAAAAATCGGGCTCTGTCAGCCTGTCTCCAAAAAAGCTTCTGAAGGAAATCTCTCATGCCCAGGAAGAAAGAGGAATAAGAGGAGTGGATGTAAAGCATCTTAAGGTTACCCACTGCCTTTTTCAACTCTGTTGGAGACAGTAACCAAGTCCCGAAGTTCTTCCTTCTGCCTGGCATATCTGTGTGGCAGCTTGACCTTATCTTTACAAAGCAGGTGCACTCAGCCCATGTAAAGTGCACAGATGTCATGTCCTGCTTCTCCTAGAATCAACTGTGCTGCAGACTGCAGGCATCTCATTATGAATGCTCTGTAATATATTCATCTAGAACATACTCACCTTGCTTGCCCTGTGTTTCCAAGCTTCTTCTTAGAAAAAAAATCAGACAGAGAGACTGACTTTTCCTATGAATAACCTTGTCTGAGGTCAGGGACGATCTGGGGACAACACAGACACCAGTGACTGTTGGTTTAAAGGGAGTCCACTAATTTATTTTGCATTTTGATCAGTTAATCATGAAATTCCCTTAGTTACCAAAGTCACTAATGCCATTATGTGTGCAGATGACCAGAGTGATTTACATAGGTATATGGTGCTTTTGAGTGGGATGTTTCTTCCGCTTTATGTAAAAAGCTATGAGCATATTCACATTCTGCACCGAATTCTATTTGGTTTATGCATTTTAATTCTGTTTTTATCTGCCACATTTTTCATACCCAAGATGCAGTTTTAGTCCTCTCTTGGAAAGTGTTTGGGAGCAGACAGCACCTCAGAAATTATAACTTTGTCCAATAAACAGGAAATGAGTCAGTGATTTCTTAATTATTATTTGCTTGTAAGTCAGTTTTTTTCTAGAAATTTCAATATTTGGAGTTTTAATGGAACACAGATCTTACATTTACAGAACTACCCATATTATTCTGGTGGTAATGAATTCACCTAATTTGGAATTTCTAAACATTTATTAAGATAGTACATGCCATGATATTCTGATTCACAGATTTTTATTAAATTTATGGATTTGTGAAACCCTAGTCACAATACAATTTTTTTTTTTTTTTTGAGTTGGAGTCTCACTCTGTCGCCCAGACTGGAGTGCAGTGGCCGCTCCCGGCCTCCGCAGCCTCGACCTGCTGGGCTCCGGCGATCTTTCCACCTCAGCCTTCTGAGTAGCCAGAATTACAGGCACACTACCACATCCAGCTGATTTTTTTGATTTATTGTAGAGATGAGGTCTCACCAAGTTACCCAGGCGCGTCTCAAACCCGTGGGCTCAGGCAATCCACTCACCTCAGCCTCCCAAAGTGCGGGACTACAGGCTGAGACACCGAGCCCGGTTTATAATTTTAAACATCTCCTTCACCCCCAAAAGATTATCTCTGTTCCCCATTTTCAGTCCCTCTCCACCCTCAGTTCTAGCCTCATTTAATTATTGGTCCAACAATTTGACTATATCAAAACTAAGAAAACTGTCTAGGCATGACAACTCATGCCTATAATCCCAGCACTTTGGGAGGCCAAGGCAGGAAGGTCACTTGAGGCCAGGAGTTCAAGATCAGTCTAGGCAACATAGTAAGACCCTGTCTCTACAAAAGATTTATAAAAGAAAAACCTAAGAAAATAAACTCTAGCAAGTTCATGGTAGCTGTGTATGTACCTCTAGGTGTGGCTTTATAATCTCTTGTGTACATATTAACTCAATGCCTGCTACTTGAAGATAAGTCTTCACCATCTTAAAGCACGTGATGCCATAATCTCTGTGTTACTCTCTTGCTTGTGGTACATACAGTGACAATTCACATCTAATGCCATTTCCATTTTTTTTAAACCACAGGCACATCCATCTGGAAGGCCTTTTTCTTCACCCCCAAGTTCACACCAACGGAGGGCTCCAACGGATGCTTTTCCACGCATGTGTGCTTCTGTTCTGGGAATTTTGTCACCCATCACAACCCACCTTTGCTCTTTGATATTTCCAAAGATCCAAGTGAGAGGAATGTATTAACTCCGATAACTGAGCCCCGGTTCCATGAAATCCTCAAAGTCATGCAGGAAGCTGTGGACAACCACACCAAGACCCTGCCAGAGGTCCCCAACCAGTTGTCACTGGGGAACCTTCTTTGGAAGCCCTGGCTTCAGCTCTGCTGTCCATCCTCTGGTCTGTCCTGCCAGTGTGACAGAGAAAAGCAGGATAAAAGAGTGAGCCATTAACTATGTCTGGGCACCAGACAGATGCATGTGGTTAAGTTTGCCATCTTCATTTTGAATACACTGAGCACTGGTAAAGGTAACTCCATCTGAGTCTTGGATTTTGACCGATTCTCAATTTGATCACCTGAGGGCTTGAGTGAGAGCTCAACAGTTATTCAACTAGTGGGTGGGGGATAAGGTCTGCATTACACAGAGAGGAAAATGATAGACTTTTGCCTTCCATGGCCAGAGTTCTTGGACTCAGGGAAGTGGGTAGGTAGAGGGATGTTGACATGAGAACATCTAACACCAGCACAGACAGATAACAGGAAGGAATAGAAGGTAACCTTAATCCACCCCTCAGCAAAGATGCATAATCAATGGTATAAGTCGTTATTTCTCCATAATCTGAAGTTATACAATAATTGCCATGATTCCCTACACAACAATAAAAAAGACAATCAAATAAAAAATACTTTAGTAAATCTTTACATATGCAACTTTTTAGTAAATGAAGGACAATTTTCTTTACCAAAAATAGATGATGGTAAGTTCTGATTTGGTTATTGGAAGGCAAGTCATTATTATTAGTATTAGAGCCATATTAAATGCTTTTCACTATATATGTGCACATATAAACATACACATACATATATATTTATATATACACAGTTTATTTCTTTCCCCGAGAATATTAAGATTTAAGATAGGGACCTAGAGGTTTGTCACTATTTAAGTAAAAACAATAGAGATTCACAAATTGGTTTGTTTGCACAATGAATGTTTCCATTTCTTTTCGGTAACAACAAGCCCAAGACAAATCTCTCCTGAATTGATTTCTATCCCATAATTTATTGTATTATATTTAGAGGTCCTTTTTTTGGTGAATGGAAGTTCTGAACTAAAAGACCACTTGGAAGATGCTATAGTTCAGGATATCTCTTCCAACATAATTCAGGATCTTTGGCATGGGAAGTTCCTGATATTTTGGAGGAAAAAAAAAACACAAGCAATTCATGATCTATTTACGTAAGCATGTCTATCTTTAGTTCTAGGTAGAAGTGAGCAATGAGTGAGCAGTAGTGAATGCCAGTTCTTTTGTTTTATATGGTTTTATTCTGTGGCTGAGAAATCTATGCCTCCAATTCGCAATGAGATACACGATTTTATTTTAATTCAATCTCCCCCAAGCTCCAGTAAATCAGGGAAAGTGCATGATGGGTCTCCTAGGAGTTGGGCGGATAGCAGCCCAGCTGGAAATAGTATCATAGTCTTAGCCATCAGGCAATCTAAGACTCCTCTACTGTGGAATGTGAAGGACGATCACTTTTTCAGACACAAGACATTCTCCAACCATATGATTGGATTCCTTGATGGATAAATGGAGAGAAGCTGTCATTCACCTGCCTACCCATTCACTCCTTTTGTGCACCTGTATGAGCACCTCCCATTTGCCTAGCATTTTCTCAATTTCAAGACCGTGCAAGTGAATGGAATGTTTGGACCCCACTTGGTGATGAGCAGAGAATGTTAGCAGTGACTTGGGATTTCTGAAAGTTAGCTATAATTTCTTCTATTCCTTCCCCAACCTCGGGAAGTTTCCGGGTTTCAGCAGCATTTCACCAGTTTCTCTTTAAGTTTTGCTTCAGATTTTAATTTTTGGCTTTCTTTACTGAAAAGACAAAAGAAGGAAAGCAAACAGGATTCTCCCTTTTAATGGGAATTATCATTCTAGAAATTGTGGAGAATCTGTTATCTTGTTTTAGAAAGCATTCTTATTAAAGAGTGTACTAGCATACTGATGATGTTAGGACTGTTGCTGATACTATCATGCAGAAACCCCATTTTTTTCTTTTTTTTGAGTTGGAGTCTCACTCAGTTGCCCAGACTGGAGTGCAGTGGCTGCTCCCAGCCACTGCAGCCTCGACCTGCTAGACTCCGGCGATCCTTCCGCCTCAGCCTTCCAAGTAGCTGGAACCACAGGTGCGCGCTACTACGTCCGGCTAGTTTTTGATTTATTGTAGAGATGAGGTCTCGCCAAGTTGCCCAGGCAGGTCTCGAACCTGTGGGCTCAGGCAATTCACTCACGTCGACCTCCCAAAGCGCGGGATTACAGGCTGAGCCACCGAGCCAGGCCGCAGAAACTATTTTAAGGCATTATTATGAACATGTGCTATGAGATAACAATATTTACTCAATGTTTGACACATTCAATACAAGTGGACTTTCTGAAAATACTTGATGATATGAGAATGTATGTTGGAGGATTAAGTAACTTGAAGAGCTTTTATAGAGCACATGAATGCCTATTAGTGTATAGAACTAGTTATTTAATCTGTGAAATGTTAACAGCATATGAAGGACAAAGTATACCTCTAGATGCAAATTTATCGAACTTGAAAGTGCCTCAAATTACTGAGATCACCATTATATTTCAGGGCATTTGAAAATCAGTTTTATTTGTAATAGCCATAATTATCTTAGATTTCAAATTATTTAGAATCTGAAAATTTTGCTTTGAATGTATAACAGGAAATTTGAATTCTTTTGTCCAAGAGAGATCTAACAAACCTTCTTTAAAGGCATGGTTTTGTGTTTTTTTGCTTTTCTTTTTAATAACTAAGGCATGGCTACTTGTTTCAAAACCGCCCATTGATATTTCCTCTGGAGTTCTGTAACCAAATCTTAGTGGGTTTTGAAGCTTTAGACAAATTCTTTAACAAAATGCCTTTATATTCCCAGCATTACATAGATGTTAGGAGTTAAGTAAACAGTTTAGTGATGTATACATAGGCATCGTTTTACAAGGTCAGCAACCCTGCAGGAAAAGCTAGCTTGCAATCTACGTATCTATAAAACTAAGGATTCGAGAAAGGAAGCTGACTTTTCAGATTTCCCCAAAGGACATGCAATGAAGAGTGGAGGGGAAAAATAACAAACAAAAAAATGTTTAACTTATCTCTGGGAAATGCTGTCTTCAAAATGATCACATCAAGTTAAAATTTCCTTAGAACATGTAAATGCAAAGTTAAAATAAAAATTTTCCTTGACAATTAAAAATGTGCTCCACTTCCATGCTTTCTAATGTGATTCAATTCAACAACGTGGAGAGTCTGTGTCTCAGGCACAGTGTGAAGCAGTGGGGAATACAAGTTTCAGTTATGAAAAAATTTATCAAGTCCCTTCTTAGCTCAAGAGAGGGGCTGAGAGATGCAGAGAGAAATAAGAAATAAAATAGCCTCGACCTCCATGAATGGAGGGTGGGGCAATGCCAGATTATTACTGGTTAGGCACATTCTCTAAGGCTTTTTTGAGTCCCACAAACATGTTTTGTCTCTTTTAAGATCAGAAGAAAAATATTAACATTGGGAGTCGAAGATTATATTGGCATTTGGACCAACACAATGGTAAAATGCAATGTTAATGTTTTATTTTTTATGTAATATGTTTTTAAACTAAGAAATATTTAACGTTTTGACATCATAATCCTTATGGGCCCTATGGCAGTAACCCTATCCTGGTGAAACAACTGCATTGCTCTACAGATACTTGACATAGAAATTTGATTTAAAAATATTGTTCTCTTCTTTTTTCTTTCAACTGGATTCCTTAGGAAAACCATACCAAAGTCAGAACAAACCCTCCAAAGCAGTAAGAAGTAGGAGTGAGAAGGTCATTGGGACTATGATAGGCTCTTGTTGGATCAAGCAATTCTCATAAAAAGGCAAAAAGTGTCCATAGAGAGACTGGTAGAGAATTGATGATCATAGGGAATGGACATGTTGGGACAGAAAGTTTTGACTGTGCAGGCCTCTCATTTTCAACTGATGTAAAAGTTAAGCTTTATTATTTCCTTTTAGTCTCCAAAAAAAGTGATGTGGAGTATAAATATCCTAGAACCTCTTAAATCATAGCTGTCTGACCTCCATGGACCTCACATCTATCCCAGGCATGGACAAAGATTCTTGGCTTGGCCAAACATTAACAAGGCTCCTGAGCCTTCTCTAAGGCTCATCTGTGCACTTCCTTGTAAAATTTAGTTTTAACAGGAACTCTATTAAGTCAGTTTTGCAGGAACCCCCCATCCTCCATACCTGGTCATCCTCAATATCTGATCAGATTCTTCAGCCTCTACCATCCCCCAGCTGATGTCTGGTAACCTTGACTTGTCTTCAGCTAGAGTCCTGCTAGGTTGGTTTGCAGAATCTCCCTGACCCCTGATGTTCCCTCTTAGTGATTTTCCCACCAAAGATCCCCATCCTGCTCCCTGGCTATAAACTCCCACTGACTCCGTGTTGTATCTGGAGTTGAACCTAATCTCTCTCCCCCACTGCAAGATCCTCATTGCAGTGGTACCTATACATATCACAGTAGTCCTGGGTGAAGTCTTCCCAACTGTGTTTTAACCAGTATCATTGAATATTGTCTCCTTTAACATCATCCATGACAACTTGAAACATTCCATGACTGCATGAATGTGAGGCTTTAGTGCTGAGCTTCCTGAGGCCCTGACCATCTTTGGTTTTCTGACACCATGAACCTGCTGTGTGTTTCAAGAGCTAACTCTAGTGAACATTGCTCTTTGTGTAATGGAATCTGAATAAAGTGATTGTAATTTACTAATACTTAACAGTGTCAAATATTATGTTAAGCAGAGCCTTTCCAATTAAGGAAACATCAGCTTTCCTAATTAGAATGCAAGAAGCTTAAAAACTGATGTATTCCTAAAAAGAAAGCATTGTTATATAACTACTTATCAGTTTTCTAAGAAGAACTTCATTGATTTTCCATATAGGAGACCCCCACTTTGGGGGTTCATCTACAAATGGTTCTACTCATTAAGTTCAAGTCCTGTGGATGATTTTTTGTAATTTTTTTGCTAAGTTTATCTTAGCTGGCAAATACATCACATTTTCAAAGAGATAATTGGACAGTTTCTTACACACACTTTACACAGTAAGCAAATACAATCACTTTCATGTTAAGGTCTCGGATACAAAATTTGCTTAGCTGATTATATTAGGATCTAAGTTTTCAAACTATATTGTGTATACATAGCGATGGTGGTGTTTTTCTAAAGGCAAGATTTTCAATGAAGATATTTTTATAAACATGTATTTTGAATTGCTTATCAAAATGTATACTAATTTAACAAAGAGTGCAAAACTAGATGTACAAAGCACCATATTTACAAAGATATACATATTCCCTAATGAGCAGGGCCCAATTATAATTACCGTTTAAATAGAAACTGTTTCATGGCTCAAACACAGTTTGATCTCATTGAGAACCCGATGAGATGATATTTCCCTATTTCCCTGATAGTTATGTTGAGACCATATGAGGCACTCAGATCTGGCCAAAATTTCTTTACACAGTCTTTTGAAGGTGCTCTCTGCTTGTTGTCACTGAATGCGGAACATCCAGGGAGAACTCTGAAGAATTCTAAGGAATGAATGGTGGGGC